TGTCCTACACAAACGTACATTAATCCAGTACATTTGTACTTTGTGTGCAGGGCACAACTATAACGAATACTAAGAAGTGCTATCCTGTCTACATGGATAACTAAATACAAAATGAATAAAATGCCAAATGACATACCCATATTTCTGAATGTTGAGGTCAATGGGGTCGTTGGGGTCGACAGTGTTCTGGAGGTTGATGGGGTCGATGTCGAAGGGGTCCTCGGTGCTGTTGATGCTGTTCTGGATGATCGAGGTAGGGGTAGCTGGATCTGAACGGGTAGAGGAATCTGGAATTTGTTGTAAAGTTGACGATATGAAATGCAGGATTTCATATTTAAATTTCAGAATTGTAGGGATTATGGGAGAAAAAAGTATTGGGATTTGGAAGAGCTATATAGAATTGAATGTATTAATAAAGAACGTCAGAATTTTAAAAATAAATAATTAGAATATTTACCTTCAGTTCAAATTATAGCAATTTAATATACATGTGCATAAACAATAAAAACTAATTTGAAAATGAGAATAAAAATGCAGCAATAATCAAATTTGTGAATGAAAATTGTGAATGAAAATTATGGGATCGATCAGTGTTACCCCTACCCCCAATATTTTTTCCTATTTACTATTTGATCAAATTGAGGTTCTTGGCCAATTGCGACTTTAAATGATTGCAAATGCCAAAATGAGGGTAATTCCCACCAGCTACCTCTTTCACATCACACTCACAATCCACTAAATGTGTTGGTACAAAGTTCTTGCATATTTTGGTAGACTTGGCACACTCCCTTGTAAGATTTCAGGAGGCTAGAAACATGTACTAGCGGGATATCTTAATTCACAGCCCAATCTCGTAATTTATTCCTTTTCGAACTGAATCATCATCAGCATAATATTATATTGAGCTACTACAGAGTATAGTATAGACCTACTTCTAAATCTGAAAGTATCAGAGACTATAATATCATTTAGATATGCATAAAAAAATGATGCGTCTTCCCATTCAGCTCTATTTGATTCAATAGGTCCTTCCAACAATGCATCAGCACCTTCAACACTTGTAACACCAACAGATTCACAATCATTTGATTCATGGTCGATATGCATATTGGGATGAACATCATCACTGTCACGGACGCTGCAACATATGATGCATCAATACATCATCTAGGTCTAACTCTAAGTCAGGAACATATTAACATTTATCACGGCAAACACTCAATGCATCTGATGCCGACACTTCGGCCCCCATCATAGCCATCATAGCCATCACTCACACTTCAATTGCACGCAGCGGGTGTGCATGCTAACCGTACGCCGAGCTGTACACTCGTACTCATGCACTTTCACTTTGGACAGGGAATTATCAATGATTACTTTAACAATTTCTCATGCTATTTCCCTCGCTTTGTGACGGGGAGTTCTCACACTATACAATTTATCAGTTTCACGCGACATGCTCACAAAAATAACGTTGAAAGAGAAAGAAAATCATTCATTTACCATGCAGTGTTGGTACTCCCCGGCAACTGATCCAGACAAATGGACAGGATATGGCTGACGTACGTTGCAATTGCATGAGCACATGGGCATGCGCACGCATGCAATTTTTTTTTACCCGGATGTAGCGGTACTAGGTCGTATTTGCTACGTTGGCCCAACGTCATATAGCCAACCAATATATACATGCACTATTTATCAGTAAAGATGGAGACGATATAGACCAACGTTAAGCCAAGGTTGGCCCAACGTCGTGTATATTAGCCAACATATCCACCATTTCTCAGTAAAATTTGAAACGATGGACCAACATTGAGCCAACGTTAATAGCCAAACGTCGAATAGCCAATTAACAGCCACAATTTATCAGTAATAATTGAGACGATGGACCAACGTTCAGCCAACATTGGCCCAACATCGAATGGCCAGCCAAAAGCCAACATTTAAAATTTAAAATTGAGACGATGGACCAACGTTCAGCCGACGTTAGCCCAACGTCGAATAGCCAACCCAAAGCCACCATTTTAAAAAAAAAAATGAGACGATGGACCAACATGAAGCCAACATTGGCCCAACGCCGAATAGCCAACCAATAGCCAACATTTATAAGTTAAAATTAAGACGATGGTCCAACTTTCAGCCCACATTGGCCTAACGTCGAATAGCCAACCAAACGCCAACAGTTATCAGTAATATTTGAGACAATGGACCAACGTTCAGCCAACATTGGCCCAACGTCGAATAGCCAACAAATAGCCACCTTTTATCAGTGTAAATGGCGACAATGGACCAACGTTGAGCCAACTTTAGCTTAACGTCGAATAGCCAACCAATAGCCACCATTTATCAGTAAAAATAGTGACAATGGACCAATGTTCAGCCAACATTGGCCCAACGTCGAATAGCCAACTAATAGCCACCATTATCAGTGAAAATGGCGACAATGAGCCAACGTTAGCCCAATGTCGAATAGGCAACCAAAAGCCAACATTTATCAGTAATAAATGAGACAATAGACCAACGTTCAACCAACATTGGCCCAACGTCGAATAGCCAACCAATAGCCAACATTTATCAGTGATAATTGAGACGATGGACCAACATTTAGCCAACATTGGCCAAACGTCGAATAGCCAACAACCCAAAGCCACCATTTATCAGTGAAAATGGCGACAATGGACCAACATTGAACCAACAATAGCCCAACGTCGAATAGCTAACCAAAAGCCACCATTTATCAGTGAAAATGGCGACAATAGACCAACGTTCAACCAACATTAGCCCAACGTCGAATAGCCAACCAATAGCCATCATTTATCAGTGAAAATGGCGACAATGGACCAACGTTCAGCCAACATTGGACCAACGTCGAATAGCCAACCAATAGCCACCATTTATCAGTGAAAATGGCGACAATGGACCAACGTTCAGCCAACATTGGCCCAACGTCGAATAGCCAACCAATAGCCACCATTTATCAGTGAAAATGGCGACAATGGACCAACGTTAACCCAACGTCGAATAGCCAATCAATAGCCAATATTTATCCGTGATAATTGAGACGATGGACCAACATTTAGCCAACATTGGCCCAACGTCGAATAGCCAACCCAAAGCCACCATTTATCAGTGAAAATGGCGACAATGGACCAACATTAAACCAACAATAGCCCAACGTCGAATAGCCAACCAAAAGCCACCATTTATCAGTGAAAATGGCGACAATGGACCAACGTTCAGCCAACATTGGCCCAACGTCGAAGCGCCAACCAATAGCCACCATTTATCGCTGAAAATGGCGACAATGGACCAACGTTCAGCCAACATTGGCCCAACGTCGAATAGCCAACCAATAGCCACCATTTATCGCTGAAAATGGCGACAATGGACCAACGTTCAGCCAACATTGGACCAACGTCGAATAGCCAACCAATAGCCACCATTTATCAGTGAAAATGGCGACAATGGACCAACGTTCAGCCAACATTGGCCCTACGTCGAATAGCCGACCAATAGCCACCATTTATCAGTGAAAATGGCGACAATGGACCAACGTTCAGCCAACATTGGCCCAACGTCGAATGAGCCAACCAATTGCCACAATTAATCAGTAAAGAATGGCGACGATGGCCCAACGATTAGCCAACGTTGGCTTGCCGACTGCGACCCTGCCGACCATGGCCGACGTTGGCCCAACGCCGTATTGTTATCTGGGCCCTTTTGTAAGTCCCGGATCCGCCCGTGACTTATAGAAATTACACCGAGTAAGAATTGGTCGGTGAAATACGTGTTAACTTAATTGTAGCAAGTTGGTTTGAGTAAGAGGGTGTGGACAACTAATAGTGTAAGTCAAATATTCATGAGATATGTACTGCTGCTGGGATTAGTTGAGTTATGTTGCAGAGGGCGCTACACAAAATAATTGTTTTGTGAGATAATGAAAAACTGAGTGTCAAATTTGAAAGAACATACAGTTTAAATGACAAAATCATCTTTGTTTGATCAAAATCGGTTCAGAGATGGCTGAAATATCCATTTACAATTTCTAATACTTGTGTACTTTTGAAAGAGCTGTTGAAAAAACAAAATAGCGCCTTTACCTTTACGTCATATTTCAACCAATGCCGATGTTGACTTTTTGTTGGCATTTTTTGTGTTGGTTATTATGCACAACCAGCCGGCCCATGTATTTTTATTTTTAATTAAATAATTAATTAATGGTCAACTTGTTTTTTTGAAAGTGGAACTGAATTGGTATGATCGTATTGGCTAAATTTCACACATTTTGGGGTCTAAAATTACCTTCATAGCAATTTTAGGTTCTAAAAGGGCACTAGAAATGTCATAAATAAGAATAAGAGCAATAACTATGCACTTTGAAGGTATTTGCGGTCTGAAAACAGAACTCAAATATCCCTTTAACCTACGCCGACTAGCAAGCCACCGTCTGAACATAGATAGGCATGTTGTGAAATAAGCCACTGCTCATTAACTTTGTACATGTACGTGGGGGGTTCATTGCATGCCTATGGGAGATTTCACCTACTCAAAGACACAAGAGTGTGTGGTGTGTGTACACATTCAATGACAATGATTATTTCACAAGAAGGCAAAACATTTTATCAAGTATTGGATGGCTTCGAGTGTGATACAAGAATATATTGCTCGAGCTACGACAGTATGAGCATTTATATTCTTGTATCACACGAAAACAAACCATAAATATTATTATTATTATTATCTATATCAGGATGACTAGCAAAATAACTGCACATTGGGTACAGTGACCGCCTGACCAGGTACCAGCAAAAGTGTTGATTTTCATCAATAATCAAGCAATATTGTATTGACAGTTGGAAGTTCCCGGATGACAGAGCAATATAAAAACAATATTGATCTATGCATGTATCATCCGGGTACTGCACTAACGATATCAAATACACTGATTTATTGTACCACTGGGAAGCATATAGATAATGATGTTTCATATTGTTTCACAGATAACATGGCGATGAAGCATGCTTGTTGGACGTCTATCTCAAGTACAGATGGAGGAGAGGGAATTACTCTTCAGTCATCACATGAACATGATGAAGGTATCTGTTTCAATGTGTTGTGCTGTATTTGCTAATGTTTCTGATGACTAATGACAATTGAGTTCAGTATATATATATATATATATATATATGCTCTCTCTCATCTATCTCGAAATAATTGTCTGTGGGTGTTATTTTTTTTTTTTTTTTAAGTTGCTTTGAGACTGAAGTTTGTTTTTATTCATGAAGCATAACATTAAACATTAAAATTACAAAGGTGTGAAGAGTAGACCTATTGCAAGACTGAAAAACTTTAAACAGCTTTAAAAGGAGCTGGACCTTATACCTCTAGTACATGAGTTGTGCAAAAACAGGAAATTGAGTTGATCCCTTACACCTTTAGATAAAATGTTAGGAAAGCTCTCTCTCGATTCAAAACAAAAGTTGTAAGGATACAGTAATTAATATACAGATAATTTCGTCTCTGCACTGATTAAAAAAATAATGTTAAAGCTATATTCATTATTCATTACACTGATAAAAGTATTGTGATTCACGAATGGTAGGCATGTGCAATCAAAATTTAAAGGGAGATTGCTGGCAGTTTCCATGTGCAGAAGGTCATAATTCCCTGACACCAGAGTTAACACCAGACTTGACACCAGGCTTAGTGGAAGTACCATTAATGGCAGTGAAAAAAATACACGGGGGCTCGGGGCAAATTAGCCCCCGAAATGCCTAAAAGAGCCCCCGAAAATCAGAAAAGAGCCCCTGTAGTTTGCATAGAGTTCAATGCAAAACAAATTTTAGAATGTTATTTCATGCAGGCAAGCATGAAAAATAGCCCCCGAAAAATAGATATTAATTTTTTCCCTGATTAATGGGTGTACAAGTCTTGCATACAGCAAATCGTAGTTCCATCAAGAAATACCCCTACCCCTAGTCTTTCAGAGAATGTAAAATATGTAAAATAATCATGGCTTTACCATATAAGGATGGGTGGAATAAGAAGAGCATTACATAAGGCCTGTTGGTCATAAAACTGAAGGTGATTGACAATATTTATTGGGTGAATGCCCAAATGGTGTCAAATTCCCCATTGAGAGCCCACTACAATGCAATGCATCTCTTATATACAACCTTCGTTCTCTCACCTTACACATTAAATCATGAAGAAGAAAACAAATAAGTAAGATTTTATTAAAAACGAGTCAATGGACTAGTTCAGAATCAAGAATGTTTATTTGCACCAATACAACCTCTAAACAGATGTATAATACATAAATATTCAAAAACACAATTTACATATTTATAAATAACATAGTATCCACTTCACTCTGTATTATAGAAATAAAGGCCCAAATTCACAAAGGAGGTTTGTTGACAAACCTTGGTTTTCGTACATCATATGACGTGTTTTACGCGTTTTTTACAAACCTGGTTTGTAAAGAACAAAAGGAGGTTTGGCGAAACAAAAGGAGGTTTGAGCTCAAACCTTGCTTTGTGAATTCGGGCCAATAAGTCTGTAGTGATCAAGAGTTTTAATGATTTTTATTTTTACATGTACAGAAAACATCTGCATCAAGGAGGAAGGAGAAGTTGAGGAGGAGGAGACGTGTCTTTCCATTCCAGGTTCAGATGGATTGAGATATGAGGGTCAGCTTGTAACTCATAACGGTATGCTATAGGTTGTTGAAGGAATATGAAACATTGAGAGATGAGGGTCAGCTTGTAACTCATGGCGGTATGCTATAGGTTCTTGAAGGAAAATCAAACATTTATAGCAATTTGATTACGGTACTGAAATTTTTCTCTGAAGCTCCTTCTCCTTTGGCGGCGCACTTCTAAAAATATATTTTGTATAACATACCGGTAATATTAAAGGTTCTCTAAAAAGAAAAAAAAAAAACATTCCCAAGTCATAGATCTCGAACAGTTGATGTGTTAGTCATTTTGTGTGTTGGAACAAGTGGGATAGTTGTCCAGGAGTTTGTCATAGTTACTTTACAAATTCAGCCAATATGAAGTGCCCATGCGTTTAGTACTGTAATTAACATCGTATTAACGACACTTTTTTGCCACTGAAAAAAATTCAAAGTCGGGGGTGGGTCTTATACACGGTACACATAGTTTTTATGTTTTGATTTATGCCCCTCCATCTGGCGCTATGCCTGGCAATGTCTCCCAGCTCAGTAATCGGTGTGTTGACTATTTTTAGGCACTTCATGATCATTTTGAAGCGAGATTTTTTAGGGCTTCAATATTACCCCATATCTCAGATTTAACATTGTTAAACGATGCCTTTAATAGGAAAATCAAATCTTAAATTGTTGAGCCAAACAGAAAGTATGAATGTTTTTTGTGAATAGGGAGGGTGCATCCTTGGGGCACACTCCTGCTTGCAAAGTCCAATAAAAAAAAACTGAAAATATCCATATTATAGATCTAATTGCATACATTGATAGGTGTCCTTCAATGTTCTTTTCCCTCTGTTTCATACCATGACATTCATTCTTGGGAGTTATTGGCATATCATATTTTATTTGGTTATAAAATTCATTCTTTGTAGCCAATAATAAATAACCAGATCAAATTTTACTTCTCAGATAATATGAAAACATCTTTACTTTGTTCATAACAGGCTTGGTCTTCACCATCAAACAAGAAGTTGACACAGACATGTTTGAATCCCTCTCAAGTACAGAAGGACAAGACTCATCGACAGAACAAGGTATCATAAAGTTATCAAGAGAAGTCCAATGTGCATGGCCAGGCTCTGGGGTTTATAGATGCACTCTGGTGCAATCCTTATTTTGAAGCATTTCAAGCAAATTTTGTACCTCATATTATTGAATGATGTTGGGTGGGAATAAACATTAATCTGTTGCTGAATTTGTTAAAACCCCTTGAAGTAAATTAGTTAAGATACAATGAAGGTATTGAAGGTATTGTTTGACAATGTTGTTAAATATGAGATGCATGTCCTTGCGTGTTATCAGTGTCTGTGATATGGTGTAATATTGAAGCCCTAAAAATATTGCGCTTCTAAATGATAATCAAGAGCCTCAAAAAAGTAAAAAATCTTTGAGTGACCGGTTTTACCATACCGGTACTCATTTTCCCCAAGAGACTGTAGTGTTAAGAAAACCAATAGGAAAACAGTTTTTTAAATTTCGATTTCCAATCATAAACATCTTGATAATCAGATCGGCTTGTATATTTCATGGCCTTCCTGACTGTCCTAAGGGTTTATAATTATCATGGCAGCATGAGCTAAATCCAGGATTTCGTTTCAAAATCTGTGACAAAGTTACCCAAAAAGACTTAAAATATGAACTATAGGCCTATATTCAAAAGGAAGGGAACAAGTTGATATTAAAGTAAATAACATTTTCTCTATGTTCCAGTTTAATATCTTGAACATCAAGTTGCACCAAGAATTGACATGGTCTGAAAAATAGACAAATTGATGAAAAGTAGTTCCAAATCCTCCAATAATTAGCGAATTCACAGCTGTTTAAAAGAATGAAGTTGAACATTTCTTCTTGATTTCTTTTTCTTATAGAAATGGTCTATGCCACCATAAAGCAAGAAGACAAAGAAGAGATATTTGAATCTATTACAACTCACGGTGAAGGAGGAGGAGAAACTGAGCAATCAATTCTTGAAGGTATGATCAACATTCTTTCATTTTAAAGGCAAATGGGATCCTTAAAGGGGAAGTCCATCCTGATAATAATTTGGTTTGAATACCCCCCCCCCCCCACACCTAAAAAAAGAAAAAGAAAAAAACAAACAAACATATTACTGAAAGTTTGAGCAAAATCTGATGAAAAATAGAAAAGTTATACTCTGTACAAACAATTTCATGAACTGCTGTTTCTTAGTTATTAATGACGGTATAGATTTGTTTCATACAATGGTTGTATAAAAAATATATTTTTTAATAATTACATTTAGTTCGATCGAAGATTGATGAATTTTTTTAGGGAAAGTATATATTTTAGATTTTTTTAAATATTTTGTTTAAAGTTGAGGGTAAATGGGAGGGGAGCTTGCAAGATACGTCACAGAGTTGCCTAATTGTGTATGATTGCTTGCACCTTCAAGTAGTCATAACTTTCTTGTTTTCAATCGTTTTTTACTCAAACTTTCACTGAGATGTTTCTGTCATTTTTCTGTTTCCATAAAACAAACTTAATATGAGGGTGGAATTCTCCTTCAATGATTTAAAAAAAATCAGTACTGACAGCAGAAGAATCATCAGATCAATGACAGTTTTGAAAAATAGTATAGACGATACAACAGTTTTAAATTGTTGAAATTAGTATTCATAACGTATTATAGAGAGTAATGTCTGAGCAAAACAGTATTTTACTGTTCTTTAAATCTCACTGGGCTGATCCAACCAATTCTGTCCTGCTTGTGATGGCTGAGCATATATGCTTCAGCCATTGACTTACCTATTAAAGTTCATGCATATATTGAGGAATACACTATAAGGTGCGCAATATAATCTAACAGCCTCATTATTTATCATTACGTGTATAGCTTGAATTTGGCTTCCTTATTAATTCTTCCAAATCTTCTTTAAAAGTCGCTATATATTTTCACTTTATATCATGTTTTCTAATATACTTTTCCAACAAAACAACAACTTCACAACTTTATATTTTTCTGACGTTAAATTAGGTTTTAAATTAAATGGACATGTGCGTACTTTCATCTCACCCTCTACAAGTATTTGAAAGCGATAGATAAAGAAAAGAAATTACATCCTACATTACATTATACAATAATTTGACATACAAGGTTTGGTACATATGTGCCTAATTAGTAATAACAAAAATAGGTTAGTGATCATATGTACCTGCAATCAATCAAAGTAGCACAGGACTGCACTCTTCAAGAGGGTTTCAAAATGATAGGAATTAAAGAATGTGCATTTGTTGTTTCTTAAATTAAATTTCGATTTGTATTTTCTAGTAAATTCAGTACATAGTTTTGTTTGTTTTCATTGCACATTTTGGATAGTACTGCTGTTAGATCAGCCCTAGGCCCCGTCTTTTATAGAGTTAATGTTGAGTGCAACTTATTTGCGATAAATATCGAATCGCAACTCTTAATATGTACATGAGAGATAAGAGACTGCAAGCTTGCGATTGATTTTGGATCAATCTCAACTCTTTATAAGATGGGGCCCTGAATTCCAAGGAATTCAGGTCATCTGTAGTGTTAACCATGTTTCACTTAAAGCAATAACATCAAATTAAACTTTCAATTACTGAAGGTACACAGATAAAGCTCCATGGATCTTATTCAAACTTCTACAATTCATATGAAAAAGTGAAATGTATCTGTTTCACACACTCCATCAAAGCTGTCATCCACTGATAAAGATAAAGACCAGTTATGGTCATGCGATTGCATTGTATGGAATCGATCAGAAAAGGTTGATTATCTAGCATGTATTGGTGTGTACCGCAAGGTTCTAGAATCATCAAAATTATATGAAATTTGGCCCAGTCTTGGTAAAGTTACAAGCACTGTACACAGAAAGATGTATATGGGACTACGCACACGTGCACGACACGTGCGTTATATCCATCAGGTCCAAATAGATATAGTAATTTACCAAATATATCAACTAATAGGCGGTTTCTCAGCAAAATTTGGTATGATCACGTATTAGTCAAAACATATTCTGTCACATGATTGGTAATAAGAGCTTCTATTTCATTTTTTGAGATAGGGGCGTTCCCAAAACTGGTCTTTACCTTTAAAGGTGATTGAGTATGCAATAATTTCTTCAGAATTTCCAAAATGACCAGGTCTTATCCATTCATTACAAATAGACATACCGGTACAGGAAACATAATTGTAAGAAAATTTCTTTTGAAGGGACTTAGTAAAATTGTAAAGATGAGAGAAAATGGTACTAAGGTAATGACTTCGATGCTAGATATACAATTAAAGACCATTATTAACGATAAAAATTGGGGAAAGCTTAATTCTCCGAACTGTATTATTACAATTTAATTACATTTTAGGTGAATGTAAATTTGTCACAAAGCAATGAATTGGCTCTGTATACCATTCCAGACATTAAGAAAGATGTTGAAAGATTTCTAAAAGCCTGTCTTTTGTCTTATTTTCATGGGAAAACGGTTGGGAATATTCAAAATGGTTGGGAGAATTTACTGTTAATCACTGTAAGAGGGTGTTGCACAGTGACGCCTTCTTAGAAAACCATTAATATCTTTGTGGTTTGAGAACTTGTTCAGGATTTTTTGCATGTTAGAGGGTTAGTACAGTAGGAGGAAGATAATAAGTAACATTTCATACAAAAATTTCGCAATTTTTTAATCAACCTTCTACAATGTTACCGAGTCACTTTAAGAACGTACAAAAACAAGGACAAAGTCTTTATATTTCTTAAAAATAAAAGTGAAATGTTCTGTAAGAGATATGTCATGGTGCTGCACATTACTCTTAGATTGCATAAACCAAGTAAAATAATTGAGTTACATTGTTTTAGTAGGTTTTGATGCAAGTTTTGTTGAATCCTCTTTGCAGTTGATGAGTTTTCTGTTAGGGGCGCTTGTTTTGTTTGGGACCGATACAAAAATTCTTCCATCGGAAGACCATGCGCCCTTAACTCTGCCTTTTTTTAGAGTCTGTATGCTTCTTGAAGCAATTCCGTGTTTGTTCAATTAGGTCTTCTTTGGTTGTTGTGCCTGAGTTCTTTAATATTGGGTTCTTGTATAACGCTCATACATGTATCTGTCCGACTTGACACTCCTGGCGCTCCCGATTTTTACTGTGGTTTTAATTTTTTTCTATTTTGTAACAACTCTTGTCTCTTGCAATATAATTTAAGCTTAACTATAATTGGACAAAGGGTCGCCAACTCGATGGCTACAGTCTATATCTTGCTCCTGTTTGCTTACCTTCTTCACAAACAAGAGTAGCGGGTATTCAATTTGGTGTTTTCTCCACACTTCTCTTTGAGACCGAAGATTCTTTTGTAGCTGTTTCGAGAACACTGCTCTTATCTGTTAACTTGGCATTTCAGGTTTGCAATTGTTTTTGAGGCTCTTATCAGTTGACTTAGAAGATGTTTGATGGCTGTGTCTCCCTCTCATTCACCTTCATGTCGACATCCATCAAGGTTGATTTTGCCTTCTCTGATGAGGTGTGAAGGTACCGAAGTTATTCTAATATCTCACTTTCTGAGACTTTCAATAGTTATGAAGCGTTGATCATGATGATCAAGTTTGTGTTGAATTTCATCAAGTTCATTTGAGATTTCATCTAATTTGCTACTAACATTTTTTGAGAGTGCCTCCTTGGAGTCCTCACTGTCTAGGAGCTCCTTGATAGTAATATGCTATTGCTAGGGTCGACACTAATTACCATGTCACCGCAATCACGATTATCACACCGGTATTAGTATCAATGCATGTACGCAGTTCACTAAACGTTACATCAAGTATGGGACAGTAGTAGACTATTTCGAAGATCCAACAATATCCATCAACAGTCTGCACAAGAATGGTAGCTAAATTCAACATTATCGATTCATAAGCGTTACCATTCTGTATTCAGCACCCATTCATTCATTATGTTAAACAGATTTCACAGTTCTCTTCCTCCTTATTGGCAATATATTCTTGTAGAAAGTAATTTTATTGTCAAAGTTTTAACAGGAGTCAGGAGTAATATGTACCATATACATGAAGAAAAAAAATATCCATAACATTCTTATTTTCTGAATGTCTGCACAACAGTTTACACCGAGTTTGGATAAAAACTATAATATCATGCAACATATCTGCTGGCAATTTCCCGAGTTCTGTTTGGGACCAGATATGGTTTAATTCATTTTGACTTACATAGAAATAAGAAATCATCTAATTAGATGCATTTTGCTTAATTGGTCCCATCAAAGTCAACTTGGGCGAAAGTCAAATTTTCTTTGACATACACACATAACAGAGATTTTAATGTATCCTGTCATAATTGATGTATGCGAAGTTGACTGTATTGAAGGTTTTAACCATTACATGATATGCATCTAGGCAGACTGGATACGCCTGGTGATATTACTTTACTCTACAGTGATTTTGAATTCTGGCACTTACCAGAGCTCGACCTTCTCTTCAATAAGGATGTAATTACTTTCTTTTCCTCCCCAGAGTTGGACAAAGGACAAGACAATATACATCAACATATAACATCATGCAGTGGAGAGAAGTCCCATCTGTGTTTACATTGCAGTAAGACATTTACAGATGAGAACACTCTTATACTACATCAGAAAACACACCAGGTCGACTATGAGCTTACTAGCCACCTTCCAACACAAACAGGAATGAAAACTTTCAAGTGTTCCCAGTGTGATGAGGGTTTTCCCCATGCAAGCACCCTTATTAGCCATTTAAGAACACATAGCCTCAACGAAAAGCCTCAACGATGTTCCCATTGTGATGAAACATTTTCTCAAAAGAATGAGCTTACTAGCCACCTTAAAACACATACAAAAGAGAAACATTTCAAGTTTTCCCAGTGTGACAAGGCTTTTACTTGCCAAAGTAATCTAGGAAAGCATCTAAGGATGCATACAGGAGAAAAGCCTTTTCACTGTTCCCAGTGTGATAAGGGTTTTTC